GGGGCGGGTGTGGGGGTTAGGGGACAATGACACAATTGTAATTTTTGGGTGAACTTAGTAGAGTAGTCAGGCATGGGTTCTCAAACTTAAGTAGGTCATTAGAACAAATAAAGCCAATAGTGTTTCGTTTACACCACAGTTGTATTGCAAAATTGAAGTAGATTTAGATAGAAAATCTGATGACACTGTGAAATGCAGAATGAGTCATGAAATCTGTATTGACAGAAAGGGATTTTGCATGTGGCCATCTAAACATGAGAGCCCATAAGATATGAATACAAATACAGCCTAATATATGGAAAACAGCTTCTTGTCTTGTCAGCTTGAGCTTTTTTGTCGACAGGTTCTGGCCAAGGTGTGGTTTAGCTTGGTAGCTGCATATCTGTATTTAAATTCTTGCCAAAAAAGAATGACTTAAATCAGTTTAAAGAGTATGCATTGTATATAAATTAACCCCATATAGCATACACGAGTCACCCTGTAGCAGATCTATACAGGTGGAGCTGGGGAAGGTGGAGTGTTTCTGAAGCTGTGATAATGATGTCATTATGTCAGATTGAGTTTGACCTATCGAAATGTGTCATCTAGAGCTTCATGCCAGATGTTTGGATGTATAGGATTGCTTTGTGTTCTTTTGAATGGCAGAAATACTACTCCTTAATGCACAAGGATTGTCTCAAAACATTGTTGAATGAAAATGAAAAACATAAAAATAAATACAAAAATAAAAAGAGAAAAGCATATGGATAAACTCATACAAAAATAAATAATTACATTATATTTGTCCAGGTAACATAATCATGATTTTATGTTGCCCTCATGCTGCAAGCCATCCATTTTGACAGTGATTTCAAAAAAGTTCCAGAGTGGTTTCAACAGAGTCATGCATTATTACTACTGTATATTAATTTTAGAATTGTATCCTTCTGACTGTGCACGAGGCATAAACCTTTGCGATGCATTATTAAATGTCCTTGTTATTGTTTTGGTTTTATGGCAGAATCAAAACATTTAAAGTCACTTGCTACAGTTGCTGTATAAGTTTGAATATTTGAACATATTTTTATTTCTGTTTCTGAGTACTTTGGGAATAGGCCTGTATTAAATGTCTTGGCCATGATTCATTGAAATGTGCCTGTTATGAAATTGTTATGAATTGAGAATTTCATATATGGATGAGCACAAACCAGGGTACAGCCAATCGCAGCTAATACAGGACAGTTGTACACACTTTATGCCATCCATCTGTATTCCACAAGGTGCTGGTCCTGGTCCTAGACTTTTGAGGTTTTGTAAGCAAAATGTGTTTTTTCAGGGGGCCCATGTCACTATTCAAAATGACCCCCAACTCCTGTTCTTTCAGAGCAGATTCACTGTCAACAAACAACAGTGAGTAAAAACAGTAATTCAATAAAAAAAAACAGTGTCTCTTGCGCAGCTCAATTTGAACTCTTTAGTATCGAGCACATCCAGTCAGGTTGCATGATTTGACTGGTTAGGGTGTTGCGCAGAAATGACTTTATCGCACCACTGTAAAGGAAAGGGACTGAATGTAGCATGGTGTTTTCATTATCGTTGGAAGCCAAAATCAGCCAACTGTCACGGGTTGCTACAGAGCGGGAACACGGTGCGAGGAACGAGGAGACCAGGAGCTTAACTGAGGATCAG